TGAGGTCGGAGTTGCAGTCGACTCCACTAATAACCAACTCGCGTATAGGGAATGTCGTGATATAACGAATCCTTGTCCGTGTCCCTGTTTGAACTTTGAAGTTTGAACCCATACAGAATTGATCCTTTATACTAAGTTTATAGCGAACTGTTTTCGTTTGCACCAAGCCATAGTCTTGTGGGGTCGCTTGTCCACTCAGTGCAACCATGCTATTGTGAACCACATGCCAGTCTTAACCTGTTATTTCTATGCTGTGAGTGCTTTTCGGCTACTAGTATAAAGAATTTCGGCCATAAAGACGTAATTCTCCTACACGATGGCGTTCGTTTTATCCAGATTCGACTGTGTTGCCCTTTGCTGATCCTGTGTCACCCTGCTCGCTTGTGCGTGTGTGTGTTTGTGTGGATGTGTGTGTGTGTTTGTGTGTGGCTATGTGTATGTGTCTGTCTGTCCGTCTGTGTGTGTGTGTGTCTGTCTGTCTATCTGTGTGTTTATGCCGTCATATGTCGCTGTCACCATACTCCGGACTGCCTGATTTCGCTACTGGCCGCCGACACCACCTTATGCTGCTACCATGGTGTACCTTCCCCTCTGATCCCCTCTGTTCCCCTCTGATTTCTTTTCACCCCGATTACAGCACCATGCCCACTGCGTCAATAGCACACGCGCCTGCTAGCGTCAACACCATGGCAACCATGATGCCATCGTCCGCAGGGTCGTCGTCGTCCGCCACGCTAGCGTCCGCCAGCCCGGCAATGGTCGCCATGGGTGCGTCCACCGCCGCCGCCTCCACGACCACCTCGTCCATGCCGACCGCCGCTGCCATGGCAACACAACCGCGCCCCATATCGCCGCCGCCAGGCCCGGCGTACGCCCAGGCAGCTGCCGGCTTCATGAGTCAGACTGCGCCCATGGCAAACATGTTTGCGCCGGGCAGCCAAGTTCAGCAACAGCAGTACCAGCTGCAGCAGCAGCAGCCGCCTCCGCCGTCATCGGCGATGGCGTCTGGAATGTCTTCCTACGTATCGGCCTCGTCTTCGGCAACGTCAGTTGGTATTTCGTCGAGCAGTAGCCAGCATCAGCTACAGCCTGCTAGCTCAGCCCCTCAGCCGCAGGCGCAACTGCTACATCAGCAGCCACAGCAACTGCCACAACAACAACAGCTGCCGCATGTGGGTGGTGGTCTGCAGTCGTTCGCTGCATCAGCCACTAGTGTACATGCTGCTTTGGCAACACAGCAGCAGCAACAACAATCGCAACAGCAACCACCTGTTCCAACGCCAACACCGCCAACACAACAACAAGCCCTTCGTCAACAACAGCAGCAGCAGCAAAGAGTCCTAAGTGCTGACGGGAAGCTAGCGCAGCAGCAGCAGGTGATTCCCAGTGCGAGTAGTGTGAGTGTGTCTGCAGCTGGCCCTGGCCTGCAGGCACCAATCAGTTTAGACAGTTCCTCGGCAGCCGGTGGTGCAATTGTTCAGCAGCCTCAGCAGCAGCCGCAACAGCACTCGGCAGCCCAGCTCATGCAAGGCGGCGCTCCCGGTCTTCTCCCGGCATCTGTCCTGCAGCAGCAAGAGGCTCAGCAAGCCATTCATCAAACCAACGCTCTGCTCACACAACAGCAGCAGCAGCAGCTGGCGACACCTGCAGTCCAGCCTGTGCCGTCGTCCATGGCGCAGAATGTGCCATCATCTCTCCATCAGAGCGTATACCAGCAACAACAGCAGCAGCAGCAGCAGCAGCCCACGGCAGTCGTATCGGCAGCAGTGTCGGCGCCGTCCGTTGCCCCCGGCAGCAGCGGCAATATCGGTTCTACACCGACAGTGGTGGCAGCGGCGGCGGTCGGATCTGTAGGTGGAAGTGCCGCTGCGCCTGCACCACCACTTCAGCGTCAGATTGGAGCCGCAGCACACGGCGTGGTCTCTACCTCGCGCGCCCCGGGTGGTGGCTCAGCAGTGCCAGCATCCACATCGAGTAGTGGTGCTGCTAATGTCGCCGCTTTGGATATGCAGGCGATGTTTGAAGGTGCCTTTAACAGTAAGCGTCGCAGAGTGCATGCAGATGACGTCATTATAATGATTAGTATTGAATCGTAGACGTCTGCTTGTGATGCCATTCCAAACGAAGCCCGTCGGCAATGACGTCATGATGATGAATGTGTGTGTGTGTGCGTGCGTGCGTGTGTGTGCGTGCTCGCGTGCGTGTATAGGTGGTGTGGATGCTCACTCTGCTCAGCCTGCAGGCCTTGTGGAGATGGCACCGCAGGGCCTGCCCAGTGTACCAAGCAGTGGTAATGTCGGAAGCGTTACTGTATCTTCTGCAATCACTGTCGGCACAGGCACAGCTCCAGCCCCTGGTGATCTTACGTCGAGTATGTTTCAGTTTGGTGCTAGTGGGCCAAGCACTGCTCTCACTGTTCAACAGTCAACATCTCAGTCGTCACTGCACACGCTACAGTCCCACCAGCAACTCGCACAGCAACCAACACAACAGCAGCAAGTCCAAAGGCAGCCGCTTCAGCAGCAGCCGTTCCAGACGTCCGCTCCCGGCCCCCTCGCACCGCTGGCTACCCAAGGTATGGTGTAGGGCGCTCTCCTCTCTCCTCTCTCTCTCTCTCTCTCTCTCTCTCTCTCTCTCTCTCTCTCTCTCTCTCTCTCTCTCGCTCTCTCTCTCTCTCTCTCTCTCTCTCTCTGTCCTTGTTGTTGGGTCTTGTCTTGCTTCCGATGCAGCTGCTGCTGCTGCTGCTGCTGCTGATATTTGTGTTGCTTCACTTATGTGTGATCACCATCGTCCATGTTACTGTTGGTGATGGTGCTGGTGGTGGTGGTGGTGGTGTTGGTGCTGGTGGTGCTGCTGGTGCTGGTGTCGCTGACGTTTTTTCCGTTGTTGTTTGCTCTTGTATTGAGTAGGTAGTGCTACACCCGTCACACCGCCCACCAGTAGTTCAGTGCAGTCGTCTGCATCGTCCGCATGGCCTGCTACGCCCGTGGGCGGCTCTGTGAGTGGCAGCGGTGCAGCTGCCTCGGCGTCCTATCCTGCTCAAATCCAAAGCTCTCTACAGTCCGCATTCATGGCTAGCGGTCCACCCGCAGGCCTCACCAATACACCGCAGCAGCAACAAATGAACGATCCTCATGCAGGTAAGCTGAAAATAGTCTGCTCGCTATGTATCCATGTGTGTTTGTCCCCCTCCCTCCCTCTCTCTCTCACTCTCTCTCCCTCGCGCTCTCTCTCTATCTCTCTCTCTATCTATCTATCTGTCTCTCTCTCTCCCTCTCTCTCTCTCTCTCTCTCTCTCTCTCTCTCTCTCTCTCTCTCTCTCTCTCTCTCTCTCTCTCTCTCTCGCTCTCTCGCTCTCTCGCTCTCTCGCTCTCTCGCTCTCTCGCTCTCTCGCTCTCTCGCTCTCTCTCTCTCTCTCTCTCTCTCTCTCTCTCTCTCTCTCTCTCTCTCTCTCTCTCTCTCTCTCTCTCTCTCTCTCTCTCTCTCTCTCTCTCTCTCTCTCTCTCTCTCTCTCTCTCTCTCTCTCTCTCTCTCTCTCTCTCTCTCTCTCTCTCTCTCTCTCTCTCTCTCTCTCTCTCTCTCTCTCTCTCTCTCTCTCTCTACACACCTGTACTGTTATCAATGAACTATGTGCACACTTTTCAAAATGAAGTCAAGTGGAAATATGTCTTGAGGCCTACTGCAGCTTCATAATCGAAAGAGGTTTGGATTACCACACCCATTCCAGTCTCACTGCAAACCTGAACCAATTCCATTATTAAACAACGTTTCGGCACATGGCCATCATCAGGTAACTGAACAATGATCCTGTGCCAGCTACAAAGGAGCAGTTTAAAATACAGGGCATTCCGCCAAAAGGGCGTAAGTCCTCTCGCTCTGAAGAGGGGAAGAAGTGTAAATGGGAGCCGACACCACTGTAGCACAGGTGAGAAGACCAAGGTGCCGCCATACAGCCAAGATGTAGCATGTGCATACTGAGGCGAGAAGGTGAGAAAGTGTCACGTCAGGTTACCTCAAGCTGTACATGCATGCAAAGGTGAGAAGAGAAATGTGTCACATGAGTTTAATGTCATTGTTATCTTGCACCCGTCCTTCAAAGGCGTGGCCACGGTACAATAGAAGGCCCCATCCGGTGCTCATGTTAACCGTTGGGTGTGTGTTCCTGATCTCGATTGCCTCGCGCGTGTCTTTTTCGACGCGCCCTATCTGCCTCCCGAGTGACCACGGCAACAGCTGAAAATGCAAAAATGGAATTGGTTCAGATTTGCAGTGGGACTGGAATGCCTGTGTCCACCCAAACCTCTTTTCTAAATCAAGAGGGGCTATGAAAAGTATGAAAGCCGGAGACATTATTGTGCAAAATGGCATCACGTTAGAGGTTTAGATTTTGTTTGTTTGCAGAATCAATGTTCTTACTCCGATCAGCGGTTGAGGATCCTCAAAGCTTTTTATACGTATGTATAGGCTTGATCTGTGTATGCACAAAGGACACGTCTGTGATACGTTTGTGTATGATACGTCTGTGTTAACGTTACGTCTGTGCTAACGTTACGTCTGTGATACTTGTGTGTTACGTGTGCGATTTGTGTGTGTGTGTGTGAATGTGCCCGTATGTGTGTGTGAATGTGCCCCGTGTACCTGTAGCGCTATCTTCACCTCTGTCCGGTCTCAACCTTATGGACAGCCGACCGGCGACGAATCAGCCGCCGCAGCCGCACCCCATGCCTCCGCCCGGCGGACCCAGCAGTCTGCCGGAGGGTATGTCACCTCTTCCACAGCCTCCAGCGTCCTCTCATCACCTCCAGCAACAACAACAGCAGCAGCAGCAACAACAGCAACCGGCACCTGCCCCATCACCGCTCGGCTCTGGGTCGCTCTCTCAGCAGCAACAGCAGCAGCAGCTCTCTCGACAGCAGGTTAGCATACGCTCACTCGGATTCACCTGCTGAGAGAATGTGTGATACTTGGTCCGCGTCAGCAATATTGTCGCTTATCTTTCGACAATTTGAACTTAGACTTTGGACATGAACGCGTGCACTTGAAGTGATAAAACTAGGTACGATGGACGGTAAGGTATAGAATGACAACTAGCTGTGAGGAATTTATTGTCCAAGGAAGGATTCCTACTTTTTTCGGTCCTCTTCGTCGCTGCTCTCGGCGCTGGTGGCAAATATTTTTGCTCGGGATCGACTCTCTTGCTTTTGCAAGCTCATTTCTCTTTCTCTCCGCTGCCTGGCTATTTTCTAGAGAGAAGTCGATCGTGAAGGTCGCCTTCTCTATAGGACTTCCCGTGGGTAGCACGACAGCCTGAGTGGTTCAAATTAGACGCCGTTCTTTGCAAGATCATATTTTGAACGACAATGACGACGCGTACAGTACTTGCAAATCTATACGACGCGCTGGATACTCCGAGCGTTCAGCTGGAGGTAAGGGAGCTGCGATCTCAGCTTGACGAGCGATCCCTGAGGTGAGCGATCTCGGCCGTTCAGCAAAATGGAGCTGATTCCGAGTAGCCGATTACTTTCTTGTGGCTTGCGCTGCTCTTGCCTGCACAGCGTAACAAGATAATCTATTTTGATGCGGCGCTGTATCAATCAGAATCACCCACGCGTCGCTCTCGAAATCCACTCGAACTCTAGCTAGACCTTTCAGGTACTAGAAAACTAACTTGCTAACCAAAATTGGGATGAAATGGGCTGCCAAATAAGCATTGGCGACAGATAAACAAAGCTGAAAGATAAGCGACAATATCGCTGACGCGGACCAAGTAGATGTGTCAGTGAATGATGGTGTGCGTTTGTCAATTATGGCAGAGTTCATTCCACCTTGTGCCGCACGATATACTGTATTTTCGGCAATACTGGCCGAGGCGCTTAGTAGTTTGCGAGGCCTACAATTTCGCCAAATTTGAAAAAAATCAACCCAAAAGCTCTGAAGTGATGTTGCGCTTGTTTCAGACAGGCGTTAATTAACCCTTTGAGGACTACCACGAATGGCCTGGATTCCTACAATGTACGCGTAGAGGCGCGTTATGGTCGCAGTACGTCCCAGTACGCATTTGAAATTTATCTAATGTCTCTCACCAGCTTTGGAATTTCTTCATCTTGGTCTCTTTGGAAAGCTACAGGCCTCCTCGTTCCAATTATTGCGACTTGATACCCAACAGGAGCAACAGAATCGCCTTCATGTCTTTGAGAGCTGCCCTATTGCGCATGAGTAAGCTACTGTACTCACATCCACAAATTTCATCGGTTCTGAAGTTTTACTCAACATAGAACGGTGATTCAAAGTCCTGCAGATGTCCGAAGCTCAAGCGTTTCATTTGGTCCCCACTATGCATGCGCCGTGCAGCCATGAGCCACAGGGAAAGTCCCCGTTTGTGGACTGCCGCGCTCGCCAGGCACAGAATTTGAAGTCAAATTCGAGTGCATCGTGTTTCGTTCTTCGGCGCTCAGTGATTCTTCACTGCGCCATATCAAACGGCACACCTTTGGAAAGCTTGTTCTATCAGCTTTCCAACGAGCCCTCAACTTTGGCAATCGGAGAAAGGACGATGGAGTTAGGACAATTTGTACAGTGATCTATATGTGCCGCACGAACTGAAAATTTGAAAGCGCATATACTTGTCTTTACCCAATGCTGTAGACAGCAAGCTGTTTCGGCCATAAAGGCCTCATCAGTACAGCTACAAGCTAAATAGGCCGAGCTACCAGCCATGGTGCAAAGGAGGCACCACAGACATTAAGGTAGCTCGTCGCTCTAGCGCCAGAGTGCTCAAACTACAAAAAGTAGCGGGCATTGCGCGATGCAGCAGCACTAGAGCAGCCTACTGAGAGTGCTCAACAAGGCCAAAGCCGAGGAGCGTGATACCCAATGCTGTAGACAGCAAGCTGTTTCGGCCATAAAGGCCTCATCAGTACAGCTACGAGCTAAATAGGCCGAGCTACCAGCCATGGTGCAAAGGAGGCACCACAGACATTAAGGTAGCTCGTCGCTCTAGCTCCAGAGTGCTCAAACTACAAAAAGTAGCGGGCATTGCGCGATGCAGCAGCACTAGAGCAGCCTACTGAGAGTGCTCAACAAGGCCAAAGCCGAGGAGCGTGATACCCAATGCTGTAGACAGCAAGCTGTTTCGGCCATAAAGGCCTCATCAGTACAGCTACGAGCTAAATAGGCCAAACTACCATACTTGTCTTTAGGAATCCAGTTATACCTTAAAAAACGCTCATACTCGTCCTTCGTCCTCAAAGGGTTAATAACAGACCGGCGCTAATTTCCCAAAATACCATAGGGCCACGACACCAGTTCCCCGCCAATCCTGACGATGACTGTGTATGCGATACCAATGTTAAACATGCACTGTAAACTGCGCTGTGTGCCCTGCGCAATCAGGCAGGCAGCGCTTGTCAATACTCCGCAGCCGACATTCTTCGTTTCGACTTCTAGGAATCGGTGTTGAGCGGTTCTGGTCGTTGTCCGTTATTTTGTGTCCGCCGTGGAAGCGAGAAGAGTCAACTAGAGTATGTCGCGAAGTTCTGCATCGTAGCGAGGCCCAGTGTTCGCATGCCTGGGGCTGTGCATTGCTCTGCACTAGTGCACAGCCCTGTGCTCACATACCTGGGGTTGCACAGTGGTCACAGATTTGGGGTTGCACAGTGTTCACATACCTGGGGATGTGCAGTGTTCACGTATCTGGGGATGTGCAGTGTTCACGTATCTGGGGATGTGCAGTGTTCACGTATCTGGGGATGTGCAGTGTTCACATACCTGGGGCTGTGCAGTGTTCACATGCCTGGGGATGTGCAGTGTTCACATACCTGGGGCTGTGCAGTGTTCACATGCCTGGGGATGTGCAGTGTTCACATGCCTGGGGATGTGCAGTGGTCACATGCCTGGGGATGTGCTGTGCTCTGCACCAGTGCACAGCCCTATGCTCACAGATCTGAGGCCCAGTGTTCACTTATCTGGGGTTGCACAGTGGTCACATACCTGGGGATGTGCAGTGTTCACATACCTGGGGATGTGCAGTGTTCACATACCTGGGGATGTGCAGTGTTCACATACCTGGGGATGTGCAGTGTTCACATACCTGGGGATGTGCAGTGTTCACATACCTGGGGATGTGCAGTGTTCACATACCTGGGGATGTGCAGTGTTCACATACCTGGGGATGTGCAGTGTTCACATACCTGGGGATGTGCAGTGTTCACATGCCTGGGGATGTGCAGTGTTCACATGCCTGGGGATGTGCAGTGCCCTGCACCAGTGCACAGCCCTATGCTCACAGATCTGAGGCCCAGTGCTCACGTATCTGGGAACAGTGCCCTGCACCAGTGCATAGCCCTATGCTCACAGATCTGGAGTTGCACAGTGTTCACGTATCTGGAGTTGCACAGTGCCCTGGACCAGATCGGATCTGATCAGATTTCACTGAGCAGTGTTGTACTATCAACTGCCATGTTTTGCTGTTGTTGTTGTTGTTGTTGTTGTTGTTGTTGTTGTTGTTGTTGTTGTTGTTGTTGTTGTTGTTGTTGTTGTTGTTGTTGTTGTTGTTGTTGTTGTTGTTGTTGTTGTTGTTGTTGTTGTTGTTGTTGTTGTTGTTGTTGTTGTTGTTGTTGTTGTTGTTGTTGTTGTTGTTGTTGTTGTTGTTGTTGTTGTTGTTGTTGTTGTTGTTGTTGTTATTGTTGTTGTTGTTGTTGTCCTGTGTTAACCTGTAGCAATCGCCTCCACCATTCGCTGGTATGCTAGCTGGCAGTGGACCAAGCAGTCTAGATGGCCCACCACCGCCACCACCACAGCAGCAGCAGCAGCAGCAGCAGGGTGGTGGGGGTGGTACGGGTGCTAGTAGTCTTGGCGTGGGCGTAGGAGTGGCGTCCACCGGTCCTGCGAGCTCCGGTGCCAGCAGTCACAACGACATCCTGGCCAGCTCCCTGGCGGCCTTGTCTCAGCAGCAACAGCAGCGCGACCTCTCGCATCAGCTCAGCGACGCCAGTATGTTACCAGTGTGTGTGGGTGTGGGTGTGTGTGTGGTGTGTATGCGTGCGTGCGTGTGTGTGTGTGTGTGTGTGCATGCGTGTGTGTTCATGGCTCTCTTCAAACGTGTTGTTCTGTGAGGAGGTATAATCATGCATATGATTATGTACTACTTCTGAACGGCCTCTTGTTCATTATTGACTTGAGCTGAACAATCTACCTTGCCATACTGAAAACGGTCACAAGACAACTGCAACCTACAGTCCATTCATAAAAAGATGGACTTCTAACTTTTGGCCGTAAATTGGTTGAACGAAGTATATTTTTCCAAAAAGCAAGCCCCATCAAGAATACGATTTCGGCCAGGTTTCGCCCGAAAAGCACTGAATTGGGAAAAACCATCAAAATCCAGGCGTTTGACCCTGCCTGCAACAGTGCATTGTGTGGTGCGAACCCCAGTTCAGGTACCCTTTTTGGACCCTTTTTCTGATTTCAAATTTCGCAGCACTGCACTGTATACGATAGTATCACGTAAAATTGCCAAGTACGGGAGCTCGCCAGAGCCAGGGCCCGTCTTTTTATGAATGGACTGTAGCTCCGTATCGCACATATCTTCATGTTTCTTGTGTGTTTGTGCCTGTCACCTATGCATGTGTGTGGGTGTGCGTGTATGTGTGTGTTTGTTTGTGTGTGGGTGTGTGTGTGTCTGCACACATGCGTGTGTATGTGTTTGCGTGCGTGTATGCGTGCACGCGTGTTTATCACGTCTCCGTGTGCACAGTGAGTGGCAGTGGTGTATTGGGTGGGGCCAGCGGTAGGCCATCCTCTCTACCCATGTCTGGATTCTCCGAGGCACGAGTACCGGTCAATGAAATACGCATCCAGCCGCTGCTCGGTGTGGCTCCTTTGGGCCCCGTCCAGTTCACCAAAGAGAGGATGTTTCACTTAGCTATGCTAGAAGCCTCGCACAACCACATGCCACTGGCTACCGATTCTGAGAGAACAAGGTACGCACATCGTCTTTATTGTGTTGCACATTTCTGCGGCAGCCCAAAGGTTTTCTTATTTTTTTGCCATTGTTGGTGCTGTTGTTGTTGTTGTTGTTGTTGTTGTTGTTGTTGTTGTTGTTGTTGTTGTTGTTGTCGTTGTCGTCGTTGTTGCTGTTGTTGTTGTTGCTGTTGCTGTTGCTGTTGCTGTTGTCTTTGGCGTTCCAGAGACTGTTGTTTCCTTTGTATTCGTTGTGGTGCCTTTGCAGTTGGTTCTGGTATAAGTGCTACTGTCATTCCTGTGTGGTGTTGTTCGCTGTTGTTTTCACTGTTGTCTTCGCTGTTGTCTTCACTGTTGCCTTCACTGTTGCCTTCGCTGTTGTCTTCGCTGCTGTCTTCGCTGTTGTCTTCGCTGCTGTCTTCACTGTTGCCTTCAATGTTGTCTTCGCTGTTGTCTTCACTGTTGCCTTCGCTGTTGTATTCGCTGTTGTATTCGCTGTTGTCTTCACTGTTATCTTCACTGTTGCCTTCGCTGTTGTCTTCACTGTTGTCTTCACTGTTGTCTTCACTGTTGCTTTCGCTGTTGTCTTCGCTGTTGTCTTCACTGTTGTCTTCACTGTTGTATTCGCTGTTGTCTTCACTGTTGCTTTCGCTGTCGTCTTTACTGTCGTCTTCACTGTTGTCTTCACTGTTGTCTTCACTGTTGTCTTCGCTGTTGTCTTCGCTGTTGTCTTCGCTGTTGTCTTCGCTGTTGTCTTCGCTGCTGTCTTCACTGTTGTCTTCACTGTTGTCTTCGCTGTTGTCTTCGCTGTTGCCTTCACTGTTGTCTTTCTGTGCAGAACGACTGTTCCGCGCAACCCATGCAACACACCCAGCTACCACCATCAACACCCGCCCATGCAATGCGATACGTTTGATTTCTTCCAGCGCCTGTCTCCAGAAACACTCTTCTTTATCTTCTATTATCATGAGGTAAGGGACCCATCCGGTATCATGGATTTTTCACGAAACGAAAATGTTGTGTGTGGGTCGAGGAGGATTTCCTTTTGAAAACATTCATAGCTGAAACATCCATCAGCACCGAGTTGCTATGGTTACTGCGTTTCAGCAAGCTGCATAGTGCGTGCGCATCGTTCTCTCAGCTGTGTCATCCTGCTCGGTTGCCATGGCAACTTGACCTGCCTTTCTTCTCTCTATAACTGTATAGTCATACATTGCTTAAGCGCACACATCCGCTTTCCGCAACAAATATCCGCATAGGCGAGGGAACCGGATAAGAGGCGATTTACACGACGGCAGGATTCATCCCGTGCGTGATGCTACCATGGAGATTCAGTCACATGTACTCATATTTTGGCGCGAACGTATCCTGTCGGCTATCCCGGTACGGCCCCGGTGCCATGAGGGGACTGGGCTGGTGGGTGGAAATGCATACCGTGGCATTCCGTGAACTGTTTTGTACTACATGTACTGTACGTGCATCCTGCCGTGTGAATCGATTTTCATCTTTCCCGTATCACGGGAAAGCTCTCGGGATCACGTGCTTCTCTTCCCTGCGGGATGCACTGCCGTCGTGTAAATCACCTCTAGTCCAACACACATACAGTGTGTGTATGCATGGCTTATGCTGTAAATCGGTAACCAACGATTTTTTTCCCGGATGGCGAGGGATCCGGAGAAAAGAGGACGGGATAAGCGAGGTCTGACTGTATTGGGTATGTGAATAATGTCATTATTGCTTTCTGACGTTCTAGGGTACGAAAGCGCACTGGCTGACTGTATTGGGTATGTGAATAATGTTTTCTTGCTTTCTCATGTTTTAGGGTACGAAAGCGCAGTGGCTGGCAGCGCGTTCCCTGAAAAAACAGTCCTGGCGTTTCCACATCAAACACATGATGTGGTTCCAGCGACACGAAGAGCCAAAGTTGATAACAGACGAGTATGAGCAGGTATGTGGTGTATGTTTGTGTGTGTGTGGGGGGGGGGGGGGGGGGAGGTGTTGGTGTGTATCTGCGTGTGGGAGGGGGTGGGGTGGGTGTTGGTGTGTGTATGTAGGTGGGAGGAGGGGGGGGGGGGGGGGGGGAGGGGAGGGGGTGTTGGTGTGTGTCTGTGTGTGTGTGTGGGGGGGGGGGGGGGGGGGTCTGTGTGCATTGGTGTGTCTGTGTGTGTGTGTTGCAATTTTGGCAGTGAGCAAGTACAAGTGTGTTGGTGTGTAGTGGTGTGTGTGTATGTCTGTCTGTCTGTCTGTCTGTCTGTCTGTCTGTCTGTGTGTATTGGTGTGTGGTGTGTGTGTGGGTGTGGGTGTATGTCTGTGTCTGTGTGTGGTGGGTGGGTGGGTGGGGGGGGGGGGGGGCATATGTGTAGAGAGTTTCAGTAGCCATGTTAGAAAAAAAGGCAATCAACGGACCTGTGCAGTTTGACTAGCATTGAGAGCATGGCAGTCGCACACATAGCATGGCAGTCGCACACATACGCAGTGAGTGTGGTGTGCATGTACTAGAAAGCACAATGTCGAGGCAGGGAATGCCGATTGGTCATTTCTCTAGACGTGTATTTTTGTTTGTTTGTGTGTGTGCGTGTGGGTGTGGGTGCTGTGTGTGCGTGTGTGTGTGCGTGTGTGTATGTCTTTGTTGGTCTAGGGCACGTACATCTACTTTGACTATGAGAAGTGGCAGCAGCGAATGAAGGAGGGCTTCATCTTCGAATACAAGTACCTTGAAGATAAGGAGCTCGTGTAGTTCCCCAGACTGCTCTACAGCCTGAACTTGTTCGCCAGCAACAATCACTGTGGACCTTGATTGGCAGGTTCCGCGATTGTATGCACACATGTATGTGTGCGTGTGTGCGCATGCAAGCACACATACGGGTGCATCTGTGTGTGTGTGTGTGTGTAGCTGTGTACGACCTACCCCTGCACGTATTGTTTTAGCTTCGCTGTGCACTGTGTGAAGCCATTGCTGTGGTGGTGTAGTTATGTCTGCTGTCCGTGCCGTGTTGCGTACAATGGCACGTCTCGAATTGTATGAGCACTGTGTCTTAAGAACACATTGCCTTTCGCGAGCCTGTACCTTCGGCGACACCATGGGCGTGTAAGCTATCCCCTACTCTCTTTGGAGTCCTCATTCATTCGAGTGCATCGTGCCATTGTTCGGTTGCGTTCTCCTGTCACGTTTTGGCCTGAAACGTGTGTACATTGCTTTCGCGTGTGTGTCATCAACTTTATGTTGTGTCTCTCTCGCTCTCTCTATCCATGTCGGCTACTCCTGTGTTTGCGGGTATGTACAACCTTGCTGATCTGCATGTTTGTGTCTGTGCATATTGTGTTGTTATGGCAACGACCACGTCTCTCCCACCTTTCTGTATACTACTGTGCCAGTGGCTCCCCCCCCCCCTTTCTTACACTCACCCACATCCGCTTGCCCACGTATATTTCTTTCTTACCATTCGCTGTTTGTGTGTGTGTATGTGTGTTGCGTGTTGTGCGCATGTGTACATTTGGGTGTTTATATTTGCCTGCGTGCCCTCCATCCCTCCTCTGTACAGTAGCTGCCAGGAGTGCGGGCATGCGTGTGTGTCTGTGCGCACGCACGTGTGTCTGTGTGTGCACGTGCGTGTTCATGAGCATGTAACAATAATATACATGACCTTTCTCCGTGCCCCCCCCCCCCCCTCTCTCTCTCTCTCTCTCTGTGTCTCTGTTGTCTGTTTTGCTAGAGGTTTTCAGTAGGTGCTTTTCTTCTCTTATTGTCTAGACAACATAGATCATTTTACGTGATTCGCACATTGTGTGTTGCCTTGTGTGTGGGCCGTGTCACCTCAATGTGTTCACTTGTGTGGTGCTGTGTGGGTGATGGTGCTGGTGCTGGGTGGGTGGTGGTGCTGGGTGGGTGATGGTGCTGGGTGGGTGATGGTGCTGTGTGGGTGGTGGTGATGGTGCTGGGTGGGTGGTGGTGATGGTGCTGGGTGGGTGGTGGTGCTGTGTGGGTGGTGGTGCTGTGTGGGTGGTGGTGCTGGTGCTGGGTGGGTGATGGTGCTGGGTGGGTGATGGGGGTGATGGTGCTGTGTGGGTGATGGTGCTGGTGCTGGGTGGGTGATGGTGCTGGGTGGGTGATGGTGCTGTGTGGGTGATGGTGCTGTGTGGGTGGTGGTGCTGGTGCTGGGTGGGTGGTGGTGCTGGGTGGGTGATGGTGCTGGGTGGGTGGTGGTGCTGGGGGGTTGATGGTGCTGGTGCCGGGTGGGTGCTGGTGCTGGGTGGGTGATGGTGCTGGGTGGGTGGGTGGTGGTGATGGTGCTGGGTGGGTGGTGGTGCTGGGTGGGTTGTGGTGCAGGGTGGGTGGGTGATGGTGCTGGTTGGGTGATGGTGCTGGGTGGGTGGGTGATGGTGCTGGCTGGGTGGTTGGGTGATGGTGCTGGCTGGGTGATGGTGCTGGGTGGGTGGTGGTGCTGGGTGGGTGGGTGGTGGTGCTGGGTGGGTGATGGTGCTGGATGGGTGGGTGGGTGATGGTGCTGGGTGGGTGGTGGTGCTGGCTGGGTGGGTGATGGTGCTGGCTGGGTGGGTGGGTGCTGGTGCTGGGTGAGTGCTGGTGCTGGCTGGGTGGGTGCTGGTGCTGGGTGGGTGATGGTGCTGGGTGGGTGGTGGTGCTGGGTGGGTGGGTGATGGTGCTGGCTGGGTGGGTGGGTGATGGTGCTGTGTGGGTGGTGGTGATGGTGCTGTGTGGGTGATGGTGCTGGGTGGGTGCTGGGTGGGTGATGGTGCTGGGTGGGTGGGTGGTGCTGGGTGGGTGATGGTGATGGTGCTGGGTCTGCAAGAAAGCACCACTCCCTGCTCAATACACAGTGTTTCGGGTAGGGGTGAAACAATTATACCGAATATTCGAATACTCAGTGGTTAGAGCTTCGCTAGCTATACAAGCGAGGGTCCCTGGTTCGAGTCCTGGTGGTGACAGTCAGTTTTTTCTTCAGACTTATCCCGTTTGAGATTTTTAGGATATCAAGAATATTCGATCGGAGAAAATCAGAATACTCGAACTCGGGATCTCAGTGCCAACTTTCACCCCTAATAATAATAATAACAATAATATTAATAATAATTCTCGTCTACGTTCCAAAGGGAACTCACGACAATGGAGTGACAAAAAGCACCGCGGCAGAGAGAGAAAAGAGAAGATGATATTTGACGAAAACAATCACGGTGTAGATTTCACATGAGTTCCAATACACCACATCAGCAAAGCTCTTTCTTAGAAAAATAAAAAATAAGATAAATGAAATGAAATCATTGGTCATCACAGTTAGTCATGTGCGTCCACACCAAAATTACAGCCGGTCATGTGTGTTCACACCACCGCAGAACAAATGTTACTCCACTTCTGCCGGTCAACTGCACAACTTCTTAGGGTTTCGAGGTGCCGGCTCGTCTTCAATGCGACGGCGGTGAACTTGACGTCTTGCTGGAGGGTGGTGACTAAACAGGACCTTGGAGCTCCCCTCCTGTGCCTCACAGCGTCCTCCATTGATGCGTATGCAATCATTGCTTGATTGCCTGGTGTCGATGATGGCTGGCGTAGAATGTGTCCAAGCAGACGCCATCTCGCTCGCTTTGCCATAGCGGATATTGGCTCAGTGTGAGCAAGCTCATACAGGTCATCATTCGACACGACACGAGGGTAGAATATACCAAGCATATGCCGAAGTTGCTTGCGATGGATCTTATCCATTTCACCCCTAGTTTCGGGAAATTCCCCCCCCCTCATCAGTTCATGACATTGAGAAGAGGGGCGAGCTCTACTGACATGTTATGGCCTTCGACGAATCGTTAGATGCAGGATTTCCTTCAGCCTTCTGAAATCATGTACAGAAAAACCTGTGACTACCGACCACCCCTTGGTTCCAGCAAAAGCGGTCTTTAGTACCAGGTGGTCTTTAGTTGGAGGTTTGCACTGCGTGACCATATATGGATCCCATTAGATGATATGTATGTCAAAATGCAGCCAATACAATTCCCCAGAACTTGCGCAATACCATTCTTATTTTAGGTCAAACAACACTTGGAGAGAAAGACGGAGAGATGGAGAGAGTCAGAGAGAGAGAGAGGGAGAGAGAGAGAAGAGTTCGATTTTTGCAGACATCAAATTCAGCTGCTACTTCTGAAGCCAGGAGTCAAACGCTCCCTGGCCCTGTGTATGTTTCGTTTTGCGCTGGGCTTCAAATTTGTTCATGCAATCAACCGTACCGACTGTCCTTGTTGTGCAGACTTCTCGATTGCATGAACGCGATCCGTCCGCATCAGGAACTTGTGGTGCTGCATGGTTTATGGATTCCTTGATGCCATCGTGGATTCGTCTGTATGACTGGGGTGACGGAGCCGCTCAGTCTTCGTTTCTCCTCCGAGTAGTAACATCGATCAGAGAGCGCGTCCGATGCGCTCTCCAAGACGTTTCCTATCATGTTTATTCTTGACAGGGCTTGAGACTTTGACAGGTGCAGTGCAGTCCACACCGACTGCACAGTCAAAATGACCTGCGTTCATTTGTTCAGCTGTAGTATCGAAAGATTCCTTTCAGGACCTTGGGAAAATCAGCAAAATTTCAAGAAGGAGCTTCGAGCAACATTTGATTTCCTACATCGCGGTCGCTAGTTACGGGTCCAAAGTTGTCTTTGGGACAAGAAAAGGCGGTCGCTGGTCGCGTTCAGCAGGTAGTCGCTAGTCACAGTGCATTTTGAACGTGAGACCGTCCGTGCCTGGCGAAGTGGTCGGTAGTAGCAGGCTGGTCGCTAGTCAGAGTGGTCTTTAGTTACAGGTTTTACTGTATCATGTGCATTCGCGGTTAATGTAGGCGTATCAGTTTTGCTTTGGAACTTGCACCCTCCTGCGGAGTAGGCACCGGCGGATTATGCCGGCGAAATCATGGAATTATGCTTTCATGGATTCTCGCATTATGCTCGCAAAATCCTCATATTATGCTCTGGCACGCGGGGATACATGATATTCACTTTGTTGTGCTTATGGAGCCTCAAAGTTCGGAAAATTGTGCCTTTTTCGTACTTGCAAGTGGCCATAAGTACAACAAAATACATGAGTATCCCCATACCAAGGTGTCCATGCATACTAGAGATCAACCTGGAAAAGAGAAAACATTACTTCTTCTATTCATTAGTTGACTTCTTTTGCTTTGAAAGATTTTTCCTTATCTTTGAAAACTGTCATGTTCAACTGTCTTCGTAAGCGTCATACTCGTCCAACCGATGTCACCCTAACCCTGCGAATTCTCATAATCAGCTCATCTCTCCCGTATCTCCAGCTCTCCTTCCATCATTACCGAACATCAACTATACCTCAATTTGTTGAATTATTAGAGCAATACCCATAGCCTGCACAGTCATAGCTGCTAAGATCCAGACGTCATGACTTCGTAACAAGCATAGTGTACATGTACGCGGAGTTTTGCGGACTACCCATCACTATCTCGTCCGCCCCGGGATACCTGATAAAGGCTGATTCACTCGCATCTTCTGCTACATGTACTGTATCAGGGTGAGAAAGAACTTTGAGAAGACGAGTTCGAGCCCACAAAATGTATGTCTATGATTTCTACCCTGCTTTTCATTGAAAACACTATCTGCATGACCTCCGAACCCTTTGCTATGCAGACCACCAGCACTGATCAGGTGCATTGTACACAATTGTGTAGCCTACATACTAGAACTGTGATACAATCATGCAGTTATGCTCCTACCTCCGAAAGGATGCCAAAATATGCTCCAAATTTTCAACCACCAAATTATGCCAATAATTATGCCGGCATAATCCGCCGGTGCCTACTGCGGAGCCCACGCTGCTTTGGCAGTGGCGGAGGCTCGCTTGCCGACGTAACCGTCGGAGACCATCATAAACAATGGACTGACTAACTCTTCACTTGCCCTGTCTTTTGTCTTTCTAAATGCACAAGTTTTTGGTTTAGTTTTGGCTTTTCTTTTGTGCTTTGGAGTTACATGTTGTTTTTGGAAAACCTTGAGTAGGCTGAGGAAGAACGTTGTGCCACCTGGGGCCTCACGAGATGTTTATCGCGCTGGAAACGAAGCGTCTCCGTAAGTATGTATCCCTGGTGATGATTTGGCCTGGAGAGTTGCACGAGACGACTGCGAAACAAACAGAACTTACGCTAAATAAATTTTAAAGGATACTAAAAGAAGCGTGGTATGCTATCATGAGAGGGCCAGTGCCAGTTCGTTCTGAGGAGATGGTGATAAGCTGCTGTCTTGAACTTTTGGATGTTCTTTGGGTGGAACAGGTGGGAATGATTGAACTAGGCAGCTGGTTCCAAATGGGGATGACGGAGTGTTCCTGGACTGATTTGCAGGAAGAACATTCTGAAACTGATGGGGGTGCGCGGTGGATAGTCGTGTAGCTTGGCTGGTGATGCTTGTGATCCTGGACTGGCGTGTCGGGGATGGGGCCATTCTCGAGAGAAGAGAGGGAGCGCCAAGTCTTTACACAGAAATTCTCGAGGGAATTTTGATACTCTCACACAAAGTTGAAACACTCTTCTTCTTCAGCACCCTCCCATCTCGTTTCCTTTGCGAATTTTCCGTTAGATTTTGGGGGAGTTGCTCTTGTCCGAGCGATAGAGGCTGGAGCAGGAGCTGGAAGCTGAACGATGCAGTCAGAGTCAGAACTATCGCCAGAGGACTCTATATTGTATAACGCAATCATTCTCTGACGAGGATATATCAAAACCCCGGTATCTTCCGTCTGACGCAGACTCCATGGCTAATGTTTGTCACAAGTAAGTTGAGATGAGGTCAAAAGACACG